TCTAGAAGGAAGAGTGGGCAGGCTACCCCAGGCCTGACGTGACCCCTTTGCCCCCACTGCCCCCACTCCTTTATGGTGAATTGGAAAGAGCTGGGGCTTTGGAAGAGGACAGAGGTGGGCTGCTGTCCTGCCCCCACTTCTCAGCTGCCTGGCCCTCCCAGCTCTCTGACCTCAGTCCTGACCCGTTGCGGTGGGGATAGGCAGGGAGCCCTCCAGCGGTGGGACAGGTCTGCTCCCTTCACCCCGTCAATGTCTGCCAGGCAGAGGTGTTTCTGGATGCGAGGTCTTTCCCTCCCTTCCATTCTTCTTACAACCCACCAGTTATGGATTGGATTTTGTCCTCCCCAAAAAATATGTGGTGAATTCCTGGCCCTTGTACCTGTGGATGTGATTCTGTTCGGAAATTGGCTCTTTCTTTTGTTAATAGAGCATATTGGTGTAGGGTGGATCCTAAACCTAACCACTTCTGAGTTATAGAAAGACCATAGAAGACACAGAGATACAGACATGGCGGAACGCAGACACCATGTGAAGATCGTTTATAAGTCAAGGGTTGCCAAGGAAACAAGGAATGCCCAGGGCTACCGACAAGGAAGGAATTGACATAGCTAAGACCCTGATTTGGACTTTGAGCCTCCAGAACTGGAAAATAAAATTTGTTTTTTAAAGCCAACCACTTGTAGTATTCACGGTATAGTAGCACGAGGAAACTAAGATGCCACCCTTGTCCCCAAGGCCCTCTCCTGCCCGTCACCTGCTCTTCCCACACCACAGCACATACTGGTCTTCGCCCCCTTGGAGGCCTGGTCGTCTGCCCCTCATGTGCCCCACGGCTGCCTGGTGTTGGTAATCCTCCATTTGTCCTTCTGTATCCTGCCGCCTGAGTCGGGGCCCTCGGGGTCTTGAATCTGAGCCACGGGCACTAAGGAATACTGGTCGATGGTGAACTCGGCAGGCTGGTACTGAGAAGGCTGCACAGATGGTCAGGGCGGTGACTGTACCTTCCCGGCTAGGAGGCCCTGGGGTAGTGGCAACAATAGCCTTTCTGGGCTCCTGCCGAAGAGGCCATATGAAACAGACCAAGGAGTTGGCCGGCGAGGTGGGCTTCTGATGGAGTGAGGCAGGAGAGGTGGCGGTGGTGGTGGTGGGATTGTTTTTGGCAGGACCTCTCTGCCTTGGTCTCCTTTGCCCTTCCTCCTGGTCATCCCAGGGCCCACTTTACAGATAAGGTCACCAGGGTAGTGAGTGGCAAGGACCAGCTTGAAGTCAGCTTTAATTCTGTCTGAACCCAAGGCCCATGTTCTTCCCACTACCCATCCCACATTCATCCAGGCCTGTCTACACCCCCTTGGCTGGCGGAAAGGCACATAACCTTTCTTGCTCAAGATGTACAGGGCCCAAGGAGCTGCCACCCCACAGTGGGGGGGGGGGGCCTGGGGGAGGGAGAGGCAGACAAAGATGGCTACAGACAGCATGAGAAACGGCATTCTTTATTCATAAATAAAAACATAAAATTACCAGAAATAGTTCACGTGGCCAGAAAAATGGCGTCGAAAATAAAATAAAATGAAGCTCGCAAAGCAAAGAACCACCACAACAATAAAGAGAAAAATATCTATGTACATACTTTTTCAACTGCCAGTCCATCCACAGCCAGCCTCTGCTGGGGTTTCCAGCTTTGCCTGAGGACACCGCACAAAGACCAAGGCAGAAGAGGCGAGGAGAGCAGGCTCCTCTTGCCCAAGGGCACAGCATCTGAGCTGACAATGCTGGCTCAGGAGAGCTCAGGACCCACACACTGCTCCTCCATCAGCTCAGCCTGGCTTACCCTTGGGCAACTCTCCCCGAGATGGTCGATAGAGGAGGCGCAGGTAGAGGCCCGGGACAGGGCAGGGCCCAAAGGCTCAGCAAGAGCTCCTAGGAGACAGGCGCGGTGGCCCCTAGCAGAGCCCAGGGGAGAGACAGCTCCCGCACAAGCTCAGTGCCCACGGGCGCCAGGCAGGAGTTCACCCACAGTGCCCTGGAGGAGAGAGCCGGGGGGGCCCCTGAGAGTCTGATCATCCCATTTCCAAGGCCCGCGCAGAGTCCTCATGGTGAGATGATGCCTTTTCTTTGCAGAGAGAGGGATCATTTTCAGGCCACGCATTCTTTAGGGAGCAGGGCAGCCAGTCAGACAGAGTGGAGAGGTGAGTGTGCCAGCAGAAGCGGGCGTGCTCAAAGTGGGTGCCCAGGGTCACACCCACTCTGAGGACTGTGGCGGCCTGACAGTCCCAGTCTCCACTCAGCTCTGCTGTCCAAGGTCCCCTACGGGAGAGGCTGGGTTTGGCAGGGTCTGAGAGCAGTGAACATGCTTTTCCACAGAGAAGGGAAGCAACCCCATGTGGAGGCGAGGTCGCTGGGTCACAGGACACTGTGCATTCTAGATCACCTTGGGCCACACGAGCCACCCTGGGTCTTGGGCTGGTGCAGCCCAAACAGGGCATTTGCCACCTTGGACTGTGGGCCAGGCCTGGGCCAGCGTGTGTGGGATGGCCTGGGGAAGGCAGCACCACGCCCCTGGGTGGAGGGTGCAGGCACACCACACAGAGGCAGGCTCTGCACAGAAGTGGCCCTTCCCAGGCTGAGCACCCACCTCTCCTGAGACCAGGCCTTGAGGGCAGAGCACTGGGCTGCCACCTGGGGAAGGGGCAGCCAGCCCCTTTATCCCTGTGGGGCAACATCACTGGGAAGAAGGACGCAAACAAGGCACAGGCTGGTGTGAAATGGAGGAAACTAGGGGCTGGGAATAACTGGGTGAGCACAATGGAGGATGCTGGGGGGTGGCTTCTGGCCTGCCAATTCCAGGTTTAAATCTAGCCTGTGACTAAGAACATGGCTTGAAAAACCTCCTCTGTCATGTGAGGGCAGAGGACAGGCACAACTTAACCTCAGGGACTGGAAGGCAAACAGCCAGCCCCAGGGAAGGTGGCCCTGCCCTCAGCTACACTCAGGGAAGGAGATGTGACGGGACTGTGGGCAAAAAGAGAAGCAGCCCCCACCTCAGCCTGGGGCCTCTGAGAAAAGGGAGAGCAGCCTGGGACTGTGAAGGCCCAAACTCTCTCATCCCCAACTCCTTCACCTCAGCCAGCTCTCTGAGCCGGCAGGAAGGAGGTTCAGGAATCCAACAAGGACTGGTGTCTTAAGAACAGCATCTGTGGCTAGAGTCAAAAATAGAACAGCAAACACCCTGGCTGCCTGCTAGCTAGATCTACTTGCTTCTGAAAAGACAAGAAGGAAAAAGAAAAGAAAATTCCCTGCACCAAGCAACTGAGAAACCCTACCTTTTCTCTCCTCCCCAAGCTCTGCACCTTTGAGAAGAGAAACCCCAGTGCCCCAAGGCAATGACCCACCCCCTAGGAAAGGCTGCAGCTCTCTGGATTCTTTATAGTTCTGGGGCTCAGGAGGGGCTCCTGGGGAAGGGAGGGCAGATGGTGGCCCTGGGCTCTTCATAAGGCTGTTTGTGTGCCTCTTGTTTTCCCAGCCTGGGCTCCTGCCCATCGGCACATCAGGGACCCCTCCTGACCTGTAAGACTCTTGTTTGAACTCAGCACTGATGATGATATACGGAAACCAGACTCAGAGGACCACGGGCAACGGTGGAAAATGCCCAGATCACACATGCACCATCCCGGTGGGTATGGGTTACTCTGGGTGCTCAGCAAGGTCCCTGGGTGGCACAAACGGTTGGGCTCAGCTGCTAATTCAAGGTTGGTGGCTCAAACCCACCCAGCAGCATTGCAGAAGAAAGACCTGGTGATCTGCTTCTGTCAAGATCACAGCCAAGCAAACTCTATGGAGCGGTTCTACGCTGCACCATATGGAATTGCCATGAGTTGGAATCGACTCAGCAGCAACAGGTTTGGTTTTTGTTGGTTTCGGGTGACAAGCAAAGGGCTGATCCTTGAAAACGAAGGATCCAGAGTATCCACTGGTCAACTCTGAACCAGGCAGGGAAGTCCTACCTGGAGCCCTAATGGGAAAGATCAGGAGGCTTTCCTTAGAACCAGAGAGCCTGGCCCTCCCTGCATCAGGCTGCCTTCAATGTTCCATCCCAGAGCCCAATCCAGGGCCTCATGTCTATGGCTTTAAGAAGAGCAGTCTGTGAGGTCAAAGGCCACTGGCTGTCCAAGGCTGCTCATCTCCAGCCAGACTCAGCAGATAGGAGCTGGAGCCGAGTCTGGCCAGTCCCTGCCATGATCCTCACTACTTAGCTCCTCCCTTTGCCTCCTCTGGGTCTTACCAATTCTCAACACTCCTGGTCACCCCAGATCTCTCCTCCCCTTTGTGGGTGCCTGGGTTGGGGCAGCTCTGACGTTGCCGAGCAGGCTCTGCATACCCCACTCCAACGTCTCCACCTCGCAGCCAGAGGAAAATAAGCTCAGGTTATGGTGGAGTCAGATCCTAAGGCTTCTCGTCAGGAATGGCTTCCTTCTATTCCCAAGGCATCCCAAGGTGTCCAGGGAAAAGGAGATTGTGGGAAGAGAGACAGAAGGAAGCTTCTGTCCTTGGGGGGGGGGGTCACACAGCCTCTGTGGCAGTCACTACCTTCCCTGGGAGAGGCTGTCTGTTTCCAATGGCTCATGTCAGCTCCCCAAGGCCTCGGTTGGGGGAGCCCTTAAAGAAAGCATGGAGACCCCTGTACCCCATCTCTTGGGAAGGCCAGGGAGGTCAGAGCCCTTTTCTGGTGTGTTCTACAGGGTTGATGAGCACTAGGACATCGGGAAGGGGAGAAAGGCCATCTCACAAGCCTTCCCTCCCACTCCAG